TTCTTGCTTTGGACCACAGCATGAAAATAAAATAACCTTTTGGACATCGGCCGTCTGAGTGTGCTATGCATTTTTTTCACTTTTGTCTGGCTGCTCCTTGCATTTGCACCTATACGAGAATTTCGGTGTGCGTTTTCTGTTTCTTTTGGTCCAGGTAATTGCTACGGAAGCCGAGAGGGGTCACAACAAACGCAAATGCCGCAACGCATCAAAAAGCCACAACGGAAGTGACCGCGGGACTCTATTTTCCGACGAACCGACCAAGCGGCAAGTGAAGAAGAAGAAAGGAACGGAGAAGTTGGAAATGTAAGTAAAAGTAATTTATTGTTTTATCATTATTCGTTTCCCGTTGTAGTTCTTCGGTCCGTTGGAAAACACCTTCACCATCTAAACGAAAGGCACTTCGAATAAAGAATTTTGTCGTTTTTACCCACACACATTCTCGTGTAAACAGGCCCTGACATGGCTTAAAGCTGCACTATGGAACTTTTTGGTTGGTGGTCCATCAATTGCATCTTTTTATGGAGATTGCTCTGCCCAGATTGTTCCACAGTATGACATAAAATTAATTACAGATGGTTTTAAAGATCAAAAATACCAAGAAAAACAGGCATTCTGACTGTGAGCAGGGTCGCCACTCCACAGATCTGACCTGTAACCAGTGTTGGGAAGGTGACTTTTAAAATGTAATCCCCTACAGATTACAGATTACATACCCCAAAATGTAGTTTGTAACATAATCCATTAAATTGACTTAAAGTGAGTAATGTAATCTGAATACTTTGGATTACTTGATTTGCTGTAAAGACGAGGAAATCTTCACATGAGAAGTTTTGTCTGATAAAAGAAAATGAAAAGTCCAGACTTTACTGAACCAAATTAAAAATATTATTGATAGAAGAAGAGGAGACACGTCCACACAGCAGGATTTAGTCCTGTTAAATCCTGTTTTAGTCCTGTTTTAGATCTAGTTTAGACCTGGTTTAGACCTGGTTTTAGTCCTGGTTTTAGTCCTGGTTTAGTCCTGGTTTAGACCTGGTTTAGGTCTAGTTTAGACCTGGTTTAGTCCTGTTTTTAGTCCTGTTAGTCCTGTTTTAGACCTGGTTTAGTCCTGGTTTAGTCCTGGTTTAGTCCTGGTTTTAGTCCTGGTTTTAGTCCTGGTTTAGTCCTGGTTTAGACCTGGTTTAGGTCTGTTTAAAATTTTCCTGTTTTAGTTTAGTCCTGGTTTTAGTCCTGGTTTTAGTCCTGGTTTTAGCCCTGGTTTAGTCCTGGTTTAGTCCTAGTTTAGACCTGCTTTAAAGACCTGGTTTAGACCTGGTTTAGATCCAGTTTAGACCTGGTTTAGTTTCCGGCAATGAGTGGAATTACCGAAAAAAAGAAAAAGAAAAAAAAAAAAGGGGGGGTAAAGCCCAAAATGTGAAAACAGGAAAGTAACTGTAATCCAATTACCACTCACTGAAACAGTAACTGTAACTGAATACAGTTACTCATCATTTGTACTCTGATTACATAACTCCGGTACATGTAATCTGTTACTGCCTGTAAAGTTGGTCTGCTTTCGTCTCCATGAAGATAGAAAGGTTTAAAGCCATACTGTGGAACATTCCAGACAAAGGAAAAACATCTCATTTGAAGGAGCCTCCACCAGAAACGTTCCAAAACGCAGCTTTAACACTCACACCAGACAGTTTCGCGTAATATAGAACCTTTGAAAAAACAAATTAATTCTTTTATCAGGCTTTTTAAGGCAGCAAAAACCAGTTAGAGCAAAAAAAAAAAACAAAAAGAAATCAGATAAATCCCGATCTGGACCATTTAAATGTGAAATGGAGCCTCGCGTCGTGACATGCTGGATGAGAGCTTCCACAGACTTGATTTGTCTTGCCATCTTTTCATCCATATGCAAATGACGCCCCATTAAACGATCACAACGATGAAATGATTCAATTAAAACTGACAATTATTTTCTGACAGCGCCCGTGTTCTGCCATCGGCCCCATTCAAAGCTCAATTAAAACATATATCAGAAGTCCCGCGGGGGGCTTTTTCCATTTGAATGCCACCACTCATTTGAACTGATTTAACCAACCCCAGGCCACTTCCAAACTGTTAAGAAAACTGTCCAGATTTGAGGTCCGCTTTAAGCCCGAGGGAGGATCAGCTTCACCCAGAATGACTCCGCGGAAATCATTTTTCCATTTGTGAGATTTTTGGACAGCTCTGCCCCCAGCGCAGGTTTCACACTTTAATGAATACAATAAAGTGTGGAAATGTCGGACTGTTTAACAAAATCTGTAACAAAAACGAAAATATCGTGATTTCGCATCGTCAAAAGTCTCAGAGTAACATGTGGGTCGTCACAATATATCGAATTACCGTATTTTTCGGACTATAAGGCACACTTAAAATTAGGGGCAGTGTTGGGAAGGTGACTTTTAAAATGTATTCCCCTACAGATTACAGATTACATACACCAAAATGTAGTTTGTAACGTAATCCATTAAATTACTTAAAGTGAGTAATGTAATCTGAATACTTTGGATTATTTGATTTGCTGTAGAGAAACAAAGACGAGGAAATCTTCACATAAGAAGTTTTGTCTGATAAAAGAAAATAAAAAGCCCAGACTTTACTGAACCAAATTAAAAATATTATTGATAGAAGAAGAGGAGACATGGTCCATACAGCTTGATTTAGTCCAGTTAAATCCTGTTTTAGACCTTGTTTAGACCTGGTTTTAGACCTAGTTTAGACCTGTTTAGACTGGTTTTAGACTAGTTTAGACCTGTTTAGACCTGTTTTAGACCTAGTTTAGACCTAGTTTAGACCTGGTTTAGTCCTGGTTTAGCCCAAAATGTGAAAACAGGAAAATACCTCCATGTAATCCAACAAAGTAACTGTAATCCAATTACCACTCACTGAAACAGTAACTTGTCATAATTTGTAATCCGATTACTCCCCAACACTGATTAGGGGTGAGCAAAAATACCAAAATATCGATATATCGTATTGTTTGATGTGATGATACAGTATTGATTTCGTGGGCTGATGTATCGATACATCACCATGAGTATTTTTCGTATATTTTACTGAATAATTTTGTCACAGCTACAGTTTTGTTGTTTGTTCAGAGGAAGAAAACTTGTTTATGCGACACATTTGACATTTTCACTGTTCTGATGATTAAAATATGTTTGTGTTTCATATGAACTTTGCACAAGAAGTGGTTTAACAAAGACTTTTAGTATCACAGACAAGATTTAGCCTTTATTTTTATTGAACCGTATCGAATTGATTTGAAATATCGTACTGAACCGAAAGTGCACTGTATCGAGGTATGTATCGTACCATGGCCTATGTATCGAGGTATGTATCGTATCGTGGCCTATGTATCGAGGTATGTATCGTATCGTGGCCTATGTATCGAGGTATGTATCGTATCGTGGCCTATGTATCGAGTTATGTATCATATCGTCAACTTTTTAATGATACTCAGCCCGACTTAAAATTCTTTCATTTCCTCAAAAATCGACAGTGCGTCTTATGTATTAATTCTGGTTGTGTTTACTGACCTCGAACCGATTTTATGTGGCACAAAGCGCTTAAAAATCTGTCGAAATGTTTTAGTATGACTTTGGTAAACTGCAAAGCCGCACCAGTTGATGGATTGTCGGAGCATTACGGCTGCTGTAGTCAGGAGCCTCGCAGAGTCCGACAGAAGCTGAATCCACATCAAGCTGCACAAAGGACTGCGAGCTGTTTTTTCGAGTGACACTGAAGATGAAGAATTTGAGTTTAATGAACAAATGTATTTTCTGTGAACTGAACATGTTGGTTTTAAGTTTTGTTTTAACTGTAAAACGTAAACAAATGTGCACAAAGCTGCATTAAACACAATATATTACTAGCAAATGATATATTTGTAGTCGTCCTCGTATTGAAAAAATAAAAAAACAAACTTAAATGATCCACACACATTTTCGATATTCAAAATCCACATTCACAAACAGCTGAGGACTTGAGAAGTGAGAGCAGCGGGCAGGGAGAGGAGCAGGAAAGGGGTGCAGAGAAGGTTGCGCGGAGATTCAGTCCGAATGAACTAGCTACAACACGCAGCAGCAAGCCGACTCTTTCTTTGCCTTGAAAATTAACGTTTTCAGACATAGGATATCGCTTTCGTGTCCTGAAAAACGTTTGTCTCGCTCTTGGAAATAAAGTACGTTTTCATAATAAGCAGAAGTTTCCTGTCCAGGAGTAATTTGTGGACCAGTGCGTCAGTCTTTAGACCCTGCGTCTGCTTCAGTCGCGCCATCGCTGGAATGAATCTACAAGAATCACCTTAGTTTGGCTTCGCTGCTTTTCCCCTTGTCTTCTTCTTTCAGCGACCTCAAAAACGGACTTTCTTTTGCGGCGAACTGCTCCTGGATTCTTGTCGCCATTGCAACAAACTTTGTGCGAACTGCGAGGAAGATATAGGTCAAAAAAAGCCGCTAAGAACTGTTGCGTTGGTGGAGTAAACAGCGTCTGTGCGTCTTGCGTCTGTGGACTGCGTGACAGTCGTACGTAAACCACGTACCGGCGGCGCGCAGGCAAGTCAGTTACACTAGAAACGTAGGGAGATTGATTGACAGCCTGTCAGCTCACAGATAACGAGGCAGTGTCGTTATCTATTGGCAAATGTTTAGCCCCACCACGTCCAGAGTTGATGAATTTTTATTCTCTTTTTTTTGGTCATCATAATTACAAGGCTACTGCACCTCTATAATCTATCATTGACAATTTGAAACAAAAAAAATCCTCCATACAACCTTTAATGCAAACCTCACACAGCAAGATGTATTCTCACGATATGTGTGAGTCACAAACTCAGGAGAGAGCACACTGTACACTAGAGTGGGTGGCCAATCGCGTCACAGCATTGAGATTTGTGTGGAAACCAAAGGAGAAGCGTCAAAAAAAATATGACTTCAGCCTATTTTAGTGAGAGAAAGTGCAATCACCTTGAGGTTCTTGACGGCCACGGCGGGGTCAGTGAGGAAGCTCTGTCTGACGCTGATCTCGATGCCCGCCTCCTTCACCCGCTCCTCCAGGTCGTCCAGCGTCTGCGGAGAATACAACGAAACATTCAACTCAGCACAAAGACATGAGACGGAGACTGACTGCAGGCTCTGACAAACCTGAGAAACCCTAAAATCACAGCGAACAGATTTGTGTTTCCTCTTTCATGTCTTTTTTAGCCTTTGGACTGGAAGCAGAACTCACATTTCACTGCTTTTTATTATTTTTTTTAAAGATGCCAAGTGTGTTTGATTTATTTTTACCAGTCGATGGCAAATGTGAAACCTGTTCAGCCGCATTTAACTGATGACCGATAAACTCTGCAGGTATTTGGGGGCCGATATATAGAGCAGATTTTGATCATCACCACCCAAATGATATGATTTAAAAAGTGTTAAAACTTATCCAGTACGTTTATTTTCATTAGTCACATGAATTTAAGTTAATGTTAGTTAAATGTCTTGCCTTTAGTCAGTGTTTGAGATTCAAGTCCGATAGCCGATAAAATATAAATATTATCTTCCAAACTCAGGCTATGTTTTTATGATGACCGTCTGAACAGAAGACGCAAAAGAGGCGCCGCGTCTTCACTTTTTATTCCGCGTTTAGACGAGTGTTTTCAGGAGGATATCTGTGTGCATACGCTGACGCAAAAGTGTGTGGAATTCGATTGTGTTTGCACGCCAGGCGGCTCGGTGATGATGCTAGATCAGGGGTGGGCAAACTTTTTGGCTCGCGGGCCACATAGGGTCCTAAAGTTTGGCTGAAGGGCCGGACAGAAAATAAGACATAACGTGTTAAGAGCTCAGCTTCATTACATCATCACGTTTATATAGAACTTCAGACGCTTTGACATTTCTGTGAACGATTCAGACACATAAAAGTGAATAAATCTGTTCCACTGCACACGACAGGGAAATAAACACCATGAGCTCAACGTTCACACACATATTGACATTTACATCTCAGAATCTTCAAGTTTTCTAAGTTTTACTTTTACCAACTTAAAATGGAAGCAGTGCAGTCTTATATCTTGAACACCAACTACTTCACTCATGGTCCGAATAACTCCTGTAAGAACACTTTCCCATAAAGTATTGCGGCCAATATAATACGCAGCACCTCAACGTATATGTAGTGCGCCATCTACTGGGAAACGATGGAAATGCATGACAAATAAAACATCAACAAGGTTTATTTTTATAATTTCTTCCAGTTCGGCGGGCCGGATTAAAAGGTTTAAAGGGCCGTATACAGCCCCCGGGCCGTAGTTTGCCCACCCCTGTGCTAGATAGTGATGTATGTGACGTAAACAAGTACGCGACCTGAGCAGATCTGACCAGAGTTTTGCGTCTTGGGCAGTGTAGACGGAAACGCTACGGTGGAGCGTGTTCAACTTTCCACTCTGGAGGGTGGGTTCAGATTTTTGTGTTTTTATGCTCCAAAAACGCCGTCACCGTCTAAACAAAAGGCACTTCTGATAAAATATTTTGTAATTTTTACTTGCAAGAGTTCTCATGTAAACAGGCCCTTAAAGACTCTTTTCTTATCTATGTTAAAATGCTGTTTTCTATTCAAAAACATACTCAAGTTGTGTTGTTTAATTCACAAACCTTGCATATTTAGGCTGAGTTTTGTCTGATGTCATGTGGTAATAAAGAAAAGAAAGTACTTGCTCCACTGTGCTTTTAAACTCCCAACACCTTCAGTCAGGATTCCCACTCTTTTTCACTTTCAAAACTTTTCCATGACTTTTTCATGACCTAAAGTGAATTTTCCATGACTTTACGACACCTACAAGTGCAGAATTGATCATACTTTTACTTTTTAGGGCTAAATATGAGATGTTAACCTTTTCCACTCACCTTATGGTTTGGTTTTATAGTTTTTTTTAACATTCAAAATCCTGTCAGTGCATTTATTGTCGTCTCTTTTAAACAAAAGGCGCAGACGTTCAGAAATAATCAGAATAGTCTAATGAGAACTTAACAGAACGATGTAGCTGTGTTAAAGAGATACTAAAATTCCATGACTTTTCCAGGCCTGGTAAATTACATTTTCATTTTCCATGACTTTTCAAGGATTTCCGTGACCGTGCAAACTTGGGATGGGCATGATTAGTCGATTAATAGATAATTGATCATTAAGAATTTCATCGATTACGTTCATTTTAATCGACAAACCGAATGTAGGTCGCTCTGTGTAGCGTGAACAAACAGGTCTGTACATGTCGATCAGTCTGCAACGTACTGAAGCGCAAATGCGAACGATGTGCAACGATGACTTGTACAAGAAATTCCACGCTTTCCGTTGCGTTCGGGACAAGTGTGAGTCCATGTGCACAGTGTATAAAGCAGCACATATGTTTCTGTGTCCAGCGGGAAAAAGTTTTACCAGGTGAGAGTCGCTCAATGTCGATGACGAGTCCCCACCTCCCTCCCCCCGTACGGTGTCCTGGTTTTGACAAACGCAAATCTGGTCACACTAACCTGTATTCACCTGAGTCATGTCTTTTAATCCGACGGAAGTTGAACCACATCAGCGACACAAGAGCTGTAGTTTTATCTTCGCTGAGTTTATGCAAATTAGCGATGTGGTTTTAAGTTTCGTTTCTGTGAGAGTTGAACAAAACTGAATTAAACACATTATAATGTCAAACGGGCTGATGTGGCTCTAGAGTCGTTACGGTTTATATGTCGTAAAGTTGAATTTATTTATGCAGATTAGTAGTGCAGATAGTAATAATAATGATGATCATTTTAATATAAAAATGTTAATGATTAATCAATAATCGATCGTTAATTCTTCCAACGATCGATTAAGAACATTTCATCGAATGCCCATCCCTAGTGCAAACCCTGTTCACTAGAATCATTTGAACGATTTCAGCTCTGGAATTGCCAATCTCTGTTGAACTGAAGGTAAAAGAAGCTGTTAACTTGAAAACTACCACTGCATGACATCACAAGGTGCAACAGAGCGTTTAGAGCTTTGGAGATGTAGACAGACTAATAATAAAGTGTTACTCAACTTAACTCCAGTCTCCAGGCAGAGCTCCAGGTTTTGAGGAGGTAACATTATTATAACATGCCTTAAATCTCACGAGAGTCCATTTTGCGTAATATCAGACGTTTAAGTGACAAGTGCAGTGGTGCGACTCACAGATGTAAAGACTTCGGTGGTCTGCTGGATGGTGGCGATCTTGGTCCACTTCCACTTCTGAAAGAGCTGGACCCGAGTGGGGTTGTGGAGCGTGGCCGAGGGGTGGGTCCTGAAGAAGGTGGGGAAGCGCTGGCGGTTGGAGAGGGCGGGGGAGCTGGAGCCGTACGACAACTGAAAACACACAAACGAAATACAAGTTATGACAAAAACAGACGGGTGTTGTATAAGAGTGTTTCTGTCACAGTCCTGCCTTTTGTTCACATGTTTTTCCCCAGTCCAGCTCCGTTTCCCAGTCTGTTCAGGTCGTCCTCCCTCCTTTTCCTACAGCTGCCACTTAGGGGTGGGCGATATATTGATATTTTAAACATATCGAGATGAATTCTGACATATCGTATATATCGATATAATGCTTATATTCAATTCTGATTTCGCCGCTTCGCTTGTTTATCTTCTCTCTCGTTGCCTCCGCCTCCCTGATTTCGTGTCTCCTTCACTCGTCACTGTCGCCGTGAACGCCCAAAGTTGGTGCCAGTGAAAAGCTTCAAGCACCACGAACCTTTTCCACCATTTACAGACAAAACCATCAGCAGCAGCACATCCTCATATTCCACCGAGTCGCGTCCTTTAGCCCGAAAGAAGCTAAACGAGCTGAGCTGCATGAGAAGTTTGCTGTTTATGCAAATGAGTCATGCGCTTAAGTTTCGTTTCTGTAAAATGTAAACACACGTGCGCAAAACTGCATTAAACACATTATTATCTCAAACGGGCTGATGTGGCTCTAGAGTCGTTATGCTTTATATATTGTAAAGTTTATTTATGCAGAAGATTTTAATTAATAATCTGCTGCAGTGTCACTTGTACAATAGTGTTTGGAAACGTTGGGTTTGATCTGCAGTGGATTGTGGGATTAAACCTCAGAGCTCCTCACTGCTGGATAATAACATGGATCTGTTAAAATAAGGAACATCCTGAGCTTCTTCTGCTAAATGAGCTCATGGTTCTGGTTCTGGTTTGGAGAACAGAGTAAATGCAAAGATGAGTTGTTTTATTTATGAATGAAAAGAAGGAAATATGTATTATTTCTTTTATTTTACAGTTAAATTATTATTTATGTAATTAGGGTTTTATGAACTGCCGACCTCTTACACTTCAATAAAAAAAAAAAAAAAGGACCTTGTTGTATTTGGCAGATTTGTTTTTGCAGTTTTCAGTTTTAGGGGGTTATTTTTTCTTGAACATATATCGAAATATATATCGTATATCGAGATATAGCAAAATATATCGAGATATATTTTTTGATCCATATCGCCCAGCCCTACTTCCACTCATTCCCCAATCATCCCAGGCTGGTCTGTATCTACTCCCTCTGCTCATTCAGTCTTTGCTAAACTGTTGTCAAGACAATCAAACTCTTTATCCAAAACACTGAAACTGTATTCTATTGTTTGCATTTTGTACAATCACCTTTTTCCCGTTTTTAGTACCTGTTTGAGCTTAATCCCAGCATATTTCCCAGTTTTGGAAGATAATTTATTTCACATTAAATACATTGTATATTTCTTTGTTGTTTTTTTCAGTCTGATTTGCCATATTAAACATATTACCTGTTACAAGACACTTTCTGTTATTAAACTTTATTAGACTTTGTTTGCCTGTGTACTTGTGTTGCATTTGAGTCCAGTTTACCTGCGTGATAGTTTCCCACTAACAGAGGATGTTTTTAGTCTAAAACAAATTGAGACTTGACGTGGTATAAAAAAAAATACACTTTTTGCTTTTTGGTTGTTCTATGATCATCAATAAAAGTAACTTAATGGTATCTTTAATCAGTCCGTGACAAATTTACTCCAAAATGTACATTCAGGGTGTCCCCAGGTTTGACTACCCCAAATTTATGAGTTTTTAAGACCTTTTTAAGACCACTTAAATGAAAATTAAGACCAAATTCGCACCCATTATGCGGGCGAAAAACACCAGATCCAATTCTAACAAGTGCAATCAGAGACAGTAACCTGGTCCCCCATGAGGCATCGGTGGGGCCAGTTCATCACCACGGAAGCAGCTTATGAGGAGCCCAGCCCATTCCCCGGTCATGTGTGCGCCAACTTGTGTGATGATTGGGTGAATATTTTAGCCCGCAGATGGTTCAGAAATTGCCGATCCTTTATAATGGCGTGACCTTTCAATTGACCCGTGTGACCTCAAATGACCTCGGATCGTCACCAAACTTTTTTTGCGGCACCGGGTACGGGGGCTTGATCCACAAACTAAATTTGGTGACAATCGGTCCATAAATGGCGGAATTATTACGGGTGGACACACAGACACACACAGACACACAGGGTGAAAACAAAACCTGGTCAACTCTTCAGGGACCAGGTAATAAGTGACAAATTTGCTCCAAAATGTATATTTAGACCAGGAGTGTCAAACTCATTTTGGTCCGGGGGCCGTATCCAACCGACTTTGATTCCAAAGGGGCCGGATCAGAAAACTCATGTCATATAAACCCCAAAAATAACAATAAGTTCAAATATTTGTGCAGAGAAACACAAATCTATTACAGAAATCTTTTTTAAATTGATGAACTCTTTCTTTTACTAAATATTATAATATTATGAAGAACCTGAAACTTTAAGAAAAATGTAATTTCAACACAATATTTTAACATGAACTTGTTTGCAAATAGGAATAAGTCAATTTTTCTTGTAAAATCCTGCACTCGGCTCCACTTTTCTCATTTTGGACATTTTTCTGATGAGGGTGTCACGGTCAACAGTCAAAACGATCGTCCTTTAAGAGCGTTTGGAAAGAGACAAGTCTTCATTTGTGCTGCTCTGGTGGGAGGGGCCACGTACAGAGGCTAAGCACCGCAGAAAATCACCAATATTTTAATAGAAAATATAATTTAAATATTTTAGTAGAAAATCACCCAAGGGCCTCATTAAAAGTCTTGGAGGGCCGGATCTGGCCCCCGGGCCTTATGTTTGACACCTGTAATTTAGAGTATGCCCAGGTTTGTCCCATATTTAAGTTTTGTAAAGAACTTTTTAAGACGACTTAAATGAAAATTAAGACCAACATCACACCCATTATGAGAGTGAAAAACACCAGATCCAATTCTAATAATGACCAAGCAACACAAACCTACACTTCCCCATGATCCATCCAACGTCTTCCTCCACTCTGCAGGTTGTTTACTCACTGCTGCCGGCGCCAGAAACCAAAGCACTGTTTGCGCATCCTCCAAATTAGACGTTCATTCAAGTTACGTGATTTCACATTGTCGTTTTTTTTTTTTTTTTCCTCCAACGTTGCACTGCAGCCCGATCGAGTTTACAAAAAATAGGCTAATGAAATTTAAGACCTTTGTGAAAAAAATAAGACTTGGACAACATAATTTAAGATTTTTTAAGGCTTTAATTTAGGAACATGAGATTTAAGCCATTTTTAAGACTTTTAAGACCCCACAGCTGCCCTGATATTATAATTTATTTATTTATTTATTTTTTGCCTGAACCCATAGTTTTGTAAAAATGTTTGTATAGTTTTAGTTTATTTATTTAATGAGACAGGGAAAGTGCACAGTATATATTAACCTTAACAGGAGAGATAATTGTACCAGGTTGTAGCGCCAGTGTTTATTTCCACTTGTCGTCCCTGAGCAGGTTCATAAAATCAAACATACAAAGAGAATGTTTTTATAACATTCACAGAGCTTCAACAATTCTGTATCCTCCTTCACATCCAGTTCTCTCAGCATCTTAAAAACACCGTCCTTATCAAAAACATCATTCATTTCATTCACTCCAGAACATCACACTCTCTCCAGACACTCATCTGTTCGCTTTACGGGCGCAGGTTTGGTTTGAAAGGAGCCGCTGTTTCTCCAGGAGCGAGAACGTGCCGGAGTTTGTCCGTGTGATCATCTCTGTTGGTGACATGTTCCACCGACGGACGGCCGAGCGTGAAAAGCCTGAGTTTCCAAATGCCGTCCTGCTGTTACGTTTGTGCACCTTTTTGTTTTCCCCGTTTTTTATTGTCTATATTTTTGTAGCATTTTTCCCCTAGTTTTGTTTTTGTAAGTTATGTTTTTGTAGCTCATTTTTATCCTCATTTCCAAACTGTTTTCGCTTTTCCGTTGGGTTTAGGTTTGTTGGGTTTTTTGTCTTTAGTTACAGGTGCTGGCACCGGCTTCCACGGCTCTGTACGGGGTTGGTCCAGTGTCGCGCCTTTTTGTTCCGTTTGGCTCATCAGGTCCACCTTTGTGTTGTTACTTTTTCAGGGCATCCCCAGGTTTGACTACCCCAAATTTAAGAGTTTTTAAAGACCTTTTAAGACCACTTAAATGAAAATTAAAAGACCAACTTCGCACGTATTATGCGGGTGAAATAAACAGATCCAATTCTAATAATGACCAACCAACTACAGAACTAAATCTAGAATCTAAGGCTACGTTCAGACTGCAGGGCTTAACGCTCAATTCCAGATTTTTTTGTGAAATCCGATGTTTTTGCGAGGTCGTTCACATTTTCAATTAAATGTGACTTGTATGTGACTCCAGTGTGAACATTAAATGGCCCAAAAGTGTCCCACATGTGACACTGGAGACACGACGACGTCAACCGCAGCGAGCGTCTCTGTGTTTACAGAAGTTGTCCAAACATGGACGCAGCATCGAGCACCTGGAGATTTTAAAGTTCCTCTCGTACCGGAGCCAAAACATGAACAACTTACTTGTTTTAAGGAGGAGATTGAGAAGGAGAAGGACGAGGTTTTTGGTCGTGGTGTTTTGTGGGGCAGCGGCAGCGACGTCTGTAAAAGGAACGTGTGGATGTGGAGACGGAGCCAAGAGTGGTGAGTGGTGATGTGCTTCACTTCAGTGACACAGAGTTCATTAACAATTTTCTCCTACTTCAGCGCAGAATAGTGACGTTTGTGTCTTGTTGATAACGTGTAGGTCGGACGAATAAACTTTGGCCGTTCAGACTGAAGTCGCATGTCAAAAGATCAGATATGTATCAGTTTCAGGAGCACATATCCAAGTGTCCTGGGTCACATTTGAAAAAATCTGATCTGTGTCGTTCAGACTGTCATTAAAAGATCAGATACAGGTCACAAAGAGGCCAAAAAATCAGATTTGGGTCACTTCAGGCTGCAGTCTGAACACA